TCCATTTTATCTACAGTGCCTTCATTGATTCAGAATGGGTAGCACTTTGTCAGACAACAAACATTTGTATCAGCAATTCAAACATTGATGCTTCTCAGAAGCCCCGGTGCTTAGGAATTATTGAGTTTAGTATGGAGAGCTTTGTTCTTTTTCCTTTACAAAATGGCTCACAGTAAATCTATAAACTGGTATTAAAAAGACACATACCTGGCACAGTGGTAGCAAATCACTTGGTAGCCTGGCAGTTAAAAGAACCGTTGGCATTTGGGAAGGACATGTCATGGTCTGCTAGCTCTCCTGAATGAATCAAAAGCTGTTTTGCAAGGACATGCGAGTGACTGGATTTTTAATCTGTGTGAAATGTATATTAAATAAAATGCAGTTTTAATTATACTCAGTGTCCATTATCTAACTGATTTCTTTTTTCCAAGGAATTGTCTTGAAATGAAATTGCCTTGTTTGTTTTGTTGACTTGAAAGAAGTTGAGGCTAACATATGCAACATGCATCTGGAGAATGGTACTTTATGTGATACAAACTATATATTAGGAGAGCTGTGAGTGATTATTTGCAGTTTTTCACTTGACCTGTCAAGAAGGTTGGAGTCAGACACTGTTCCAGGGGCATGTCTTTGGTTAACCAGGTTATCATTACTGTCTGGGACTTTGTTCTTTTGGATTTCATGGCATGTCTTTTGTTTGTAACTGACTGTAAACATGCACACAACTTTGTACATTTCAGGTGTGAAATGGCAATACATCAGACTTGCACACATCTTACTTCTGCATGGGTATCACCACAAGTCTAGATTCATAAAGATACCTGGTATCTGAGTTTCTCTTTGGGCACAGTAAAATATTTCTTGACTCTAACAGAATGATTCATAAAACCTCTGCTTAGGTGCTATGCGGCTCATACGATCCATGATGACTACAAGAGGTATTTTTTTACATTGAAGTTCTGCTTCAGTGGTTGAGGTTCATATGGCCACCATAGGATAAAAGGGAAGACAAGGCAACTACTTTTTGTCACGAGTGTGTGTGTGTTTAGAATATTTAGCACATGAAGACTGTCAGAGAGCGTCAGACTCTAGTGAAGTGTTCATGACTATAACTGCTGTTGAGGAGAGAGAGCTCGCAAATCACAGCAAACAGGACAAACTAGCAGAGACTTTGCAGTTGAGGTAGTTTTTGCAGATGGGAGTTTGAAGGGGAACTGGAAACAGTGCACAAGATAGTGGGGGACTGCTAGAGTTGGTGCAGTGACAGTGATGACAGGCCATAGGGAGTAACTACTGAAAAAGAAACCCAGCTCTGTTTCAGCTGAAAACCAGGACAATAAGAAAAGTCTTTTTGCTGTGGGGGTGTTCGAATGCTGGAACAGGTTGCCCAGAGAGGTTGTGGAGTTAATTTACACGTTTTGGTACTAAAAATCAAGGAATACATGCTAACTGTTTTTGATAGTGATCAGTCATAGTCACATGACCTTGATATTAAATGTTTCCTTAGCTCAGTATTTTGAAGGCTTTAATTACAGGGAAAATGTCACTTGATTGAGTAGAAATACAGATTTTGTTTGTCAGGAAATTAAGAAGGATGCCCAAAGGCAGAGTTTGACTGTCTGCAGTAGATTATTTTTAAATTTTCCATTCTTGTCACCTTTATTCAGTTCAGTAATCGTTAACAACAAACTAGAGCAGAGGACGTTCTCTGTCCCTGAGGCCATGCAGTGCAGTATGACATACATACGTACAGCTAAACTCTCTTGCAACTTCCTCTCCTCCTAACCCCACCAAATGAAGGTGGTTTTACTTTTACTAGGAAGAAGCCCTGATTCAAGCACTCCTCCAAGCCGTGATCAGGGTTTGGTAGGAGTGATAGCTGGCACAAACCAAAACTGTACCAGCTGTGCTGACAATTGCACCAAGAGCAAACCAGCCCACATTATACCACGTCAGTGCTTGAGTCCATCCCCTGCTCCTGTTGAGTTTGTACTTCATAGTTGTAATCTCTGATTCTGACTGATCTAAATATGCAAAAGAACTTTACTAGCACAGTTCATTTAAGCTAGTATAAAACCAGGGTAGGTACTGTCTTGGTCTAAGTAAGAGAGGAAAGAAAACCATATCATCTCCAGTTTAGGTGATATGTGGGGATATATCATGCTGGCTGATGCTGGTGAGGGAACTAATGCTTCTTTGCACCCCTGGTTCTCAGCAGTTAAATCTGCACTTGAAAGCAAAAGCAATTGTAATGATGACTGTAACTATGGCATGTTTATTCACTTGTATGGTAAATTATTTTGTGAAATCAAACTCTGTCTTAAAAAGTCCAATTGTTACAAAGACTTTTTGCAAGAAATTCAGTAGCTACACTTAAAAAAAAAAAAATCTTTCTAAAGAAAATCTTGGTACATGAATTTGGTTTGTATTGTGAATGTGTCTTTCAGAAAACCTAATTTCCCATTCAGCCACCTTGCTTTTAGGGAAGTTGAAATAAAAATATTTCAATCACCTCTATCACAAAGGATGGTGATCAAAGTATGCTTTCATGGCAACAACCCAAGGTTCCCAGAATTTTCTCAAAAATGTTCCTTTCTCTAAGCATTTATAAACTTCACAGTTTAGAATAAACAAAAAATACCACTATGTGTATTAACCAGAGTATGTAAACAAACATTATATAAACAATCATACTTCAATGAGTTAAACTTTCATTTTGATACTTTATATTTGTGGAATGCATTATCCTTAAGAAAAACAAATGCTTTATTAGAAAAGACATGGACCTGTTGCAGTGGATCCAGAGGAGGCCACAAAAACAGAGGGATGGATCACCCCTCCTATGAGGAAAGGCTGAGAGAGTTGGGGTTGTTCAGCTCAGAGAAGAGAAGGCTGCAGGGAGGCCTTATTGTGGCCTTTCAGTACTTAAAGGGGGCCTATAAGAAAGATGAGGACAAAGTTTTTAGCAAGGCACTTGCAATAGAAAAAAGGGATCATGGTTTTAAACTGAAAGAGGGTAGATAGACTAGATAGAAGGAAGAAATTTTTTACAGTGAAGGTGGTGAAACTCTGGAACAGGTTGCCCAGAGAGGTGGTAGATGCCCCATCCCTGGAAACATTCAAGGTCAGGCTGGACGGGGCTCTGAGCAACCTGATCTAGTTGAAGATGTCCCTGTTCACTGCAGGGGGGTTGGACTAGATGACCTTTAAAGGTCCCTTCCAACCCAAACCATTCTATGAGTCTATAATTCCATGATTCTATTTGAAAAGCTGTATTAAGATAATGAAATTTTAGCAGAAGTCACAAAGATTTTGCAACATGCATGTTTAATACTTCACATTTTCTATAAATTTCATCATGTTTATAAAGTATCATTCTTTAGCATATGGATTACAAGGTTACCACAGCATTATACCTAGGAGATTTACAAACGCTGATATAAAAAACCTTTTCTTGTTTCCATTTTGTATTTTTTTTTTTGTTTCATACCAGAAGTGGTGTAAGAAAGAAAAGCTTTCAGACTGCACAATTTTACAAAAAAACAGAATTAATTCTGTGGATGATAACAGATTGATTCCTTGCTGGCCTAGGTAGTCTGTGTGATGTCTTACTGTATTTTACCATGATCAGCTGTACTGAGGATGGATGCTGGCATTCTGTTGTTCTTTGTGCCCACACACAATGAACTCTGTGAAGTAAAACTGTATTTAGTTTCCGTTTTTTTGAAAAGGCTTGGATAACATGGTACCACTGATATTTTTAAAACTTTTGAGAATTCATTCTACCTAATTTCATCTGTCTAAAAACTGTCTAAATGGGAGTTACAGTAGATCTCTCTATCATCAGAGGAAAGAAGGGAGAATCTAGACAATGATTCTGAGCTATCTAGTGTGGTTTATCTGTCCATAGGTTGCAGAAGGATTCTAGAGGTCTGGCTTAGGCTGGTCTTGTTTGGAAAGGCAAATGCCATTTTTCAGTGGCTGGAAATGGTATGAATTGAACCATTGTAAAATGTGTGGGGATCTAAATCTACAGGCTTTCTTTACAGTGGTTTTCACTAAAACCTACTTATTCCAGTATGTTACATACTTAATAAGTTTCAAAAAGTAGAGGATAATTTTGTGTTTCTTGTCAGAATTTTAGACATATTGCTGGCTAAACTGAAAATAAAATCTGAATTATTAAGTTATCTTTTTAGGATTCATATCATTAATCCACAATGAACTGTGTTTGGGTATTTTTATGTGAATAGTAAAGTTTTAGCAGATTTACACCAAACAAGACAAATTATGCAAGCAGTGATTTGGTTTTGCTATTAGACAGTCATAATTCAGATGTTGACATTTGTTAGTCTGTTAACATTTCTCTCTAAACATTTGTATTCCATTCAAATTTAAAACATAGTTTTATATCCATGTGTAAATTCCTACTTCCTAAGGAGTCCAGTATTTTCTTAGTGAACTAAAGCACTGCAGACCTTTATGGTTACATCCATCCCAACATTGTGCAGGCATTGTGTAATTTAGACTTTCAAAACATACATTTACAAATTTTACAAATATTTACATTTACAAATATTTACATTTACAAAATTTTACAATAATTTTGAAACTTTAAATTCTGTAAAATATTTCTAGAGACAAAACCAGGTAAGTATATTTTTTGCAATAAGGGATACGTTTTTTTCTTTTAACTGTATAATGTTATGCTGTTCTGAAGAGTGAAATTCTATCTTTGGATGCATACGAGTAATTTATATTGCAGGTAATATCTACGTTACCATCGGCAGGGACAAAAAGGGAAGCTGGGCTCTGAACACTGGAAGAAGAAAAAGCTAGTACTGAATACAACTTTCTGATTGATCCACACATTTCTGTAGCACAAATATTTTTATATCTCTCAGCTTTATCTGCATATTTGGGAGGCTGAATGGTTAATTTGAAGAGTAAAATTTTTAAAAACAGATTATAATTTCTTGCCTTTGTGTCCTTTTAAATAGGAACAGATGTCTCAGGTGTTGGATGCGATGTTTGAAAAGCTGGTTGAAGGAGGGGAACATGTCATTGATCAAGGGGATGATGGTGACAACTTCTACGTCATTGATAGGTGAATTGCTTTGTCTTATTATAGCACAAAGTATTATGCAAAAGTCCACTGAGAAAAATTTATTTATCTACATACTTGATTTAACTCTTACTTATGTTTGCATGGGAGAAAAAGAAAAAAACACACATGAACCAGTACATCTCTGTCTGAGCTATAGAGAGGTGTTTTTGGAAGGAGGCAGATTTTTCATATGGAAATATGTCCCTGTCCTCTTTCTGTATTGCTAGATCCCAAAGATTTTTTTTTCCCCCACACGGAAAGAGATCTAACACAAAACATAATGGGAAAAAGTTTTACAACTACAATATTTGAAATCTTACAGCATTTCATTACTGTCTGTAGACTCATTCATTATCTCATTCACATGAACATTATTAGACCTTGAGTAGTTAAGTCACTACTCTTCATTTGCAGAGCTGTACTGGAAAAGGCAGGTAACTAAGTAAAATCCTAGATATTTCTTACTGCTCAATCCAATGAGTTAGGAAAAGCATTTACTCTGGCATCTTTCACTAGTCTGTTGGCACAGGCTCCAGTCAGTTAGTCCCAAAACACATTTTCTTATTTGTACCTTTAGTTTTAGGCTAACACAGTGATTTATGAAAGTGTTTGAGAGGAATATCGTGCTAGAACTCTAAAATAGATGCAAAGGCTTTTGGTCAGTGTAGGTCAGTATAACCAGCTGGTCAAAAGAGGTGATTGTCCTGCTGTATTTAGCACTGGTACAGCCTCACCTTGAACACTGTGTGCATTTCTGGGCCCCACAATTTAAGAAGGATGTTCAGGTACTCAAATGTGTCCAGAGGAGGGCAACAAGGCTGGTGAAAGGGCTGGAAGGAAAGTCCTGTGAGGAGTGGCTGAGGACTTTGGGTTTGTCTAGTTTGGAGAAAAAGAGGTTGCTCTTTGCCCTCTACAGCTTCCTGAGGAGGGGATGTAGAGGAGGGGAGGTGCTGATTTCTCCTCGCTGGGATCCAGTGGCAGGACACTGGGAATGGTTCAAAGCTGCGCCAGGGGAGGTTTAGACTGGACATTAGGAACCATTTCTTTACCAAGAGGGTGGTCAAACACTGGAACAGGCTTCCTAGAGAGGTGATTGATGCCCTAAGCTGTCAGTTTAAGAGGCATTTGGACAATGCCCTTAACAACATGCTTTAACTTTTGGTCAGCCCTGAAGTGGTCAGGCAGTTGGACTAGGTGATTGCTGTAGGTCCCTTCCAACTGGAATATTCAATCATAGAAGTGTGTCAGGATTCTTTGCTTTAGAGTCAATGTTTTTCATCTTTGTGAGGTTACAGTTTGTCATCTCTTAGCCAAAAACCTGCAGGCACTTCATGATATTCTGTCAGCCTTCCAGTTTTTAGGTGCAGTGAATCACCTCCAAGTCCTTTATCGATGAAATAATTGTACATGTTTTCGCATTAAATTCACATGATTTATCAACATGTACCATACAAATAATCACCACTGAACAAAATGATGGCTCAGCATTGGTGGGGATGGCTGTATCATGTTTTTCAAGATACCAAATTTTACTGCATTCACAAAACAATAACAAGTTACTAATTTAATGATAGTGAGAAGGAAACCACAATGTATTAGATAAATACATATCTTTATTTCATAATCTTATGTTGCTTTTCATATATATTCCTTCTGTTTCCTGCATCTCCCCTATTTATTATATTATAAATTACTACTTTAAAATATTTTATATGTGAATAATTTGTATTATTATTTCAGTGATCATATCATAGCAATTTTTGCAAAGACTTGTTATATTGGTATTTAGTGTGTTTAAATTAAGTAACAGATAATGTTAGATTTTAATTTCTAATAAATTGATCCTGGTGATCAATACATCACTGTAAATCCAGTCTATCTCTAAACTGAGTTAATGTAAAAACTAATAATCCTATCCTTCCCTTTAAAAAGGAACTGCTTTTACTATGTATGGAAGTGATTGTGATGTCTCTGCAACATGTTTAATATAATTTAAACAAGCAAATGTATATTTCAAATGCTTTATCTTTGGAATTCATTATATTAAAAAAATATAGTAAGAGACTATTTAGCAAAGACCAGGACTGGATTCTACTCACTGTATTTCTATATTTTATTAACAGAGGTACATATGATATTTATGTAAAATGTGACGGCGTTGGGAGGTGTGTTGGAACCTATGATAACCGAGGAAGCTTTGGTGAGTTGGCCTTAATGTACAATACACCCAGAGCAGCTACAATAATAGCTACCTCTCCTGGTGCCATCTGGGGTTTGGTAAGTGAAATATTTGTTTTAAGATATTATTTGTTTTAATTATTTTACATAAACTGCACTGGTATGCTATATAAAAAAAATGAATTACAATTTTAGAAAGTTTAATTTTAAAACTGAGAACTCCCAAGACAATACTATCTTATTTCCAGAATCTGCAGAAGCAAATGTGAGACTTAAGAAAACACTGAGGTTTTAAAAAAGCATTTTATTTTATTCTATTTTAATGATAATTTCCCAAATTGCAAACCACTTGACAATTACTTAGACTCATATATAAAATATTTTCCCACATCTTGACAGGAAATGCCTTTGGTTCCAGAGTAAAATTAAAATATTAGGTTATTTATCAATGTTATACTATCTGGATCTTTGACAACAGTAATAGAATTTACCAAAAGAGTAAAACTGGGATAGCCATCTTCTTTGAGACATACACGCCAATCTAATGACTGATCCCAAGACAGTATTTTCCTGTTGAAGTGAAGAGCATGTTTTTTCACCAACTTAATCCATGTGACTTTGGGGATCATGGCAGAGTTTAGGACACTATAAGAATGGTTTTAAATTGGATTGGGTTGTATTGGCCAGCAAGTCCCACCTGTAGCAGTGAAGGCTTGCAGAGCATTTCACCTCGTGTCTGTCACCAGGACACAGTCAGAGGACGTTAAGAGAAGAAGACAGTATACATGTAGTTTTTCCATCTGTCTGCTTCACTTGGCTTGCCAAATACTAACGATTGTCCCCATGGCTGTTTAGGGCAGCAGTGAGTCTTGTTCTGCTGAAATAGCAGAAAGTGGACTGTGACCTAAGACCCAGACTCATGTATTTTGGTTTTGTTTGCATAATAAGATAAAAACCTCTTTGCATACATATCAATTATGTATGGGACCTCAGGATAATGAATAAACTTTGTATATTCAGTATTTAAATATTGAGGATTTCTTAAATATCAAGGATTTCTTAAATATCTTAAGTTACCCACTCAGCATTCATTAGGTAGCCAACCTGTTTAAGGTAAACTCTCTACTCGCCACATGTAAATCCTGTACGTGTTCTCTGAGGAAGGGCAGAGAAGCTTTTCACAACTTCACAACGTGAATCAATTCAGATCAGGAGCTTAGCTTTAGGAGCTCTTGATTGACCTCTAGAGGAATCTTTCTCAACTGCTGTATGGGGAGACTAGCCAGCTAGTTTGATGGCTCCATTGAGTGACTAAAATTTGGTAATTAGAACATATTCAGCCATTTCTGGAGTATTTTATACTACATATGTATTTTCTGTTAATAAACTCTCTTTTTCTCTTTGTGTTTACAGGACAGGGTAACGTTCCGAAGAATCATCGTAAAAAATAATGCCAAAAAGAGAAGAATGTATGAAAATTTTATTGAGTCACTGCCATTCCTTAAATCTTTAGAAGTAAGATTTATATTGCATTATTTTAATGGCGGTATCAGAGGTACCTGATAAGATTCTGCTTCAGTAGAGTTTAAATCTGGAATTAATTTTTTCTCCACCATAAAATTTTACATACTTTTGTTTTGGAGAAAGATCATATTTTTTATAGTTATACATTTTCAGGATAAAGAACTATTGTTAATATTGTATTTAAAAAAAACCCCAAGCAACAAACCAAAAAAGAAACAAACAAAAAACCAAACCACCTTTACCTTCATTTTCTTAAGCTTAATTTTACTAGATATCAGCCAATAAAATTAAACAATGACTTAGGGAATTTAAAAATATTTTCATTTAACAGCTATATTTTTACATGCATGCTTTTCTGAAAATAACTTTTGAAGACTTGGGATGGAATCTCTGTCAGAACATCTAGCTGTTAAGACTATAATATACCCTCTGGAACACTATTCAGCAGTTTTTCCTTTTTTTAATGATTATCAAACCAGGAAAATAAAGATATGCTATTCTGTGCTATTCATGGAAAGAAATATGAAAGGGCTTTCTAAGTATAATAGTGTAATGTCAACCAAGTATTTCTGACATTCTCTTTTTTTAAATGAAGGTATCTGAGCGCTTAAAAGTGGTTGATGTGATTGGCACCAAAGTGTACAAAGATGGAGAACAAATCATTGCTCAGGTACAGTTTATTTCTAGTTTCAGTTTTTCTTTTCCAATAGGGGTAACAGTTACCATGTTATCTACAGACAATACATACTTTTAAACTATGTTTTTCTTTGTCAAATGAAACAAAACCAATGAATTTTGGATCTAAGAGGGGTGATTATTTTGCTTCAGAAGCTAATTTTTAACTTACGGTACTTTGAAAAACATCCCTCTTTGTTGATATGAGTAAAGGAGTCAACATTTTTCATACACTTAGAAATTCAAACTATATAGAAGAATGATTGCTTGCAATAAGGAGCACTGAAGACTTACCTTGGTTTTGTTGTTAAAATATTGTAATCTTTCGAAGAAGAATGCAGCAGTAAACTCTTCAGGGCAGGCAACCGAGATTGTCTTGCTCCAAAATAATTACTGAATATCAGATAGCTCTTGGAGGCTTTTTATACTGGTAACTCTGTAAGGGAAATAATTTAGAAGGAATACAAAGGCAGAGAAACAGGAGTAGCGATCCTAAAAGCTTCCATAACGTTGTTTTTCTCTGCTTTGTGTATAAGGCACAGTCAGCTACATCTTGGCATGAAAAGGCATTGCTGTCAGTTCGGTATAGATGTTTTGGTTATTATGTGCCTTGAGTATGGTTTTCACATTAGAAATTATTTCTTTTGCAACAGGTATCAAAAAGATGAGCTTCAAGGCGCTGGCTGCAAATATTTTAATATTACCATGAAACTAAAAAGGAAATTTCACATTTCCTTTACTCACTTTATTTTTTTTTTTCTTCTACAGGGTGACTTGGCTGATTCTTTCTTCATTGTGGAATCTGGAGAAGTAAGGATTATAATGACAAGGAAGGTAAACATCCCTGAAACAAATATATATATTTTTTTTAATCTTTATGTATTCTAAGTGTTAAACAGTAATGCTACCATTGTTACTAATTTTGCTTATGTGATCCTGAGTTCAGCAAATCTCTTTCATTCTCTCCCTTTTTCTTTTTTTACCTGTTTTTTCAGGGTAAACAAGATGTAGAAGAGAATGGAGCAGTTGAAATAGCTCGATGCTCAAGAGGACAGTATTTTGGAGAACTTGCTCTTGTAACTAACAAACCACGAGCCGCTTCTGCATTTGCTCTTGGCACTGTCAAATGCTTAGGTATTATTCAATCATATTTTATATCTAATATAAAACGATACATAATCTATGTGGTTGTTGAACTGAATCTGTTGTTATTGTGAACTCTGTCTTCAGAATATAAGATTTAATTACATTTACCCAAATAAGACTGTTTAAGTACATCATCTATTACTGTGCACTCCTATTTATGTATCTACCTGCAGAAATTATTTGCAGTTGATAACTGGTATTAAACACAAATTCTACAACAGTTCTCTGATTGCATGGAAGTAAAAATTGTTTCAGGACAGTACAGATATTGCTGCAAACCATTCTTAGCTATCAGATAAATGTCTAATACTCTGCAGAAAGTGAAAATATTTCTTTTCGCAGTACACTGACCCTCATGCAAGAAATTATTATGGTAAAAATCCTGTCCTGCTTTATCACCATGACTTAAGATTTAACAAAGTCTTTGTCTTCACAAGATGTTAATTTAATCATTCTGTCACACCATAGCCTCAGGCACGGGAAAAGCAAAGACCATAGGCGCTGTGCTCATAGACAGCCCTTTGCATCCATTGCTTTTCATGATCTAATGTTTAGCTCCTAAATATTTGTATCTAATTAAGGGAAAACTGCCAACTGCAAAGACAGATTTGGCATTTTTGAATGACAGTTTGATTACCAAGCCAGTAACCAAAAAGTTTCTCACTAACTTGTAGAGGTACTATTTTTTTAAATCCTTATCTCCAAATACACAGAGGTGATCAGACAATAAAGAGCAAAGATGACAGAGAGGAAAGAATAAGAGGCAGTGGTGAGGAGGAGTGTCATTACCCAGTATGGATGAGTTGCTAAGATCTCTGGCACTTCCTAAATAGAAGAGGTCTTGAACTTTTCTTAGGAACCAAAAGACTACAGGCCACCAGGTTGGAAGCTGGTTAAGTATGATGTTTCCTCCCTGGCCTATTGGCTACAACTATAGAGGATAACATTATGTGATCAGGTAAAGAAAATACTCCGGTCAGCTATACATTGACATTGCATGTGGATTACTGTCTCCAACTTTTTGTACGTTTGCTGGGAAATAATTTTCTATTACAATTTCCTCTGTGAGTAGAAAGAAGCAAATAGCAAGGAAATATGCTAAAGTAGACCCCAAATACAGGCAACAACATCAGCAAAGAATGTGGGTTTTTAAAATCTCGATGGTCTTAAAATTGTATTCTGTGGAGGAATCCAGGCCCCTCCAAACTCCTTCAGCAGCTCTTGGGTCACATAAATCTTAATATGAAAATGTTTTCAAGATGAGAAACCCAGCAAATTCTAAGTTTATTAATGAAATTTCAAGACAACAATGTGTTGTTTGATCTTGGTTATGCTATGGTAAGTGGTTCACTTCTGTGCAAACAAAGCGTATGCCTCAGTAGTATCTGTCCTGTTATTTAAAATTCTACATTGGAATGTCATAAGCATCAAGATTTGTGTCTGCAACTGATGAGCACATTATATTCTTTCCCTTTCTCTCCCCTTTTGTCTTAGTTATGGATGTGCAGGCATTTGAAAGGCTTTTGGGACCTTGTATGGAAATTCTGAAAAGAAACATTGCAAACTATGAGGAGCAGCTAGTTGCTCTGTTTGGAACAAACATGGACATTGCCGATCCCAGTGCATGAACTAAACGTTGGAGCAACAAGATCTGTTATGAGAATATAGCACAGTACTGGTTAGTCCACTGAGAAATTGTCTTTCTTCCTATAGATGCCACGCATTTTCTGTGATTTTAAGAGTGGGTGTGGGGTATTTTTTGGATGTACTACAGTGGAAATACCGGTAAATGAAATAGGAATTTAATAAATTGTGGACTTGATTTTTGAAAGTGCTTTGCATTGATGGTTCCATCTGGCATTAAGACAACCTGTAGTAGCACAGCACCTTTGAAAATCAAGTCCTTTAACATGGCATTTCCTTGAAGAGTAGATTTGAGAAAACCCACATGCGATGAACTTGTTAAACCAGCTTCTGTTCTTCAAAAAGGTTACAACTTTTCTGGAAAGACTGTTAGTTTGAATGTGATATGTTGGAAGTATTAGTGCCCACAAAGTGTTTATATGTATTAATACAGAAGATATACAGTAGATACTACTTTCTGACTATGACAGTTGTCATGATTTTCTGTTGCATTTATCACAGATGTAGTGAATCACAAGACTAATCGTAAGATAAAGCATGACAATGCATTTTGTGTAACGCTCATGACCCAGATCTGATTTTTAACATTTTGTAATTCGTTTTAAAGTCCTCTTTGTGTACATGTCATGTTTCAGCACGACATTGTAATATCTTATGCAATTTGGAGGACTTGTATATTTTTGCAATAAACTGCATTTTTTTATTAGTTACATGCATTCTGTACAGTCTAGAGTGAGGACAGCTGACAAATTAACCTTAATGCTTTAAAAGCAAAGGCATAGGTCATTGTCATGTTCTACCTAATCATACATAACCTCTGCTGTTTTCTCTTTCCCTTGTTTTATATTTATGTATTTTGTCTTCTCTATCTATGCTTGTTCTCTAGTTAATTTTTTTTTTTAGATCTCACCTTTTTAATCTGTTTAATCTTTTACCTATTTCAAATGAAATTATCTCTGTATATCTCTCTTCTTGCAGTCTAATCTTAGCTATCAAAGACCAGATTCAATTACTGAAATGATTGATATTGAAAGCCATGCAAAACTAAGCTTGTACTTGAAAAATTCTTATCTGGAAGTACAAAAATGTTATTAATTTGAAAAATCAATACTTCAGAAGCTTTGCACAAGTCTGGCAAGTATGTCATTGTTAAAGCTAACACGTCCTGCTTTCAAAAACCTGTAGGCCATCATAAAATAATATATTTTTAGCTATAATAGCATGGGATACCTTCTGAGACTGAGGAGAGAGAATATAATCTTAATTAGGAGCACAGGGCTCATTGCTTATAAGGGTCTGTGACTGGAAATTTCAGGCACAGTCCAATTTTAATCCTGCTTACTGACCTATCTGTTGGTGTACATAGAAAGCTAGTGCACATAATGGCGATTGGCAGTATTTCTGCCAAAATGGTACTATAAGAATTGTAGGAAAGCTGCTTGTGCCCTGTTTCAAATGCCTGAATTACAACATTTTTCCTTCTTGGATAATGACTTTTCTAATGCCATATATTCGTGTATGTTGACGTAATTATTATCCTACAGTTAGTTATATGTTCTGACAATTTATATAATCATACATGTATGAAATTATGATTATATAATATGATAACAATGTATAATTTATATCATACAGTATGGTATAAATTATAAATCAGATTTTAAAAAAATGAATCTAAGCAAAATTTAGAAATGTAATTTTTTTTTTACCTAGAAACCTGGTACAAAAAATTGCACATATGATAACTTGCCTTTGTACTTTTGATTTATGGAAAAAAGAAAAGCCTGTTATACTAGAAGGAAATATCAGGTAATCAAAATCTACACTTTTGTCATTCTGTATGCTTAATCTCTGAAAGCTACCTATATTTTGCACTAGCTTGATGTGATTAAGAAAAATGCTAGAAATTACTTGTATGGCAGTAAACTACAATCAAGGCCATAAATGCCAGTCACGATATTTTCAATATTGTTGGTTATATTTAAAGTTTCCTTACAATAAACGACACTTTTATATATAAAAAGCTATGTTTATCGATATTGTTGTGTTTTAATTACATTATCATAAAGTTACAAGTGACGTATTTATATTCATTTATTAAAACATTCACAATTCATAATACTTTCATGTTGATCCTCATAAATGATGCTATGCTGGTGCTCTGGCTACTCAGGATAGATGAGGTGTTGGTGTGATTATTGTCATAGCTACTTTATCATAGAATCATAGAATGGTGTAGGTTGGAAGGGACCTTAAAGATCATCTAGTTCCAACCCCCCTGCCATCAGCAGGGACACCTTCCACTAGACCCGGTTGCTCAAGGCCTCATCCAGCCTGGAGGCCTTTGTATTTGATGATTTGCTTGTAGTTTTTAGCTGGGAAGAAGCTGTGGAGTGACAAATTTAAGATAATCAGAGACTCTGGATTTTCTGAGTCCTGAAGTACAGCTTCATGTTGCAGCGGTTTTATTGTGTTGCTCTTGGGGACTGGATGATTTCTGGAATTTTCTTTGTTGGTGAATTCAGAGGAGTTTAACCAACAGTAATAAACTGTTGCTTTGTAAGTTTCGTCCAAATCTTTATACCCTTGATCAGTCAGCACTTGGGGTTTCTCCTAAATTTATTCATATGTATGCTTCAGGCATGCCAGTGTTCGTGTCATAAATGTGGCAAGTGTTCATCCTAAGAAGAAAATCATACCAAGTCACTGATTGTTAATGGTCTCTCTCAAAAAAAGTAGCTAGCTCTAATAATTTTAAACAATACTACGTGATATTTAGCTTATGAGACAGTGTGTCCATACTTAGATTACCAGATGCTTCTGTTATTAAAAGATTTTTATTATACTTTTTGTAGTCGGGTCGCTACAGGAATGGAGCTTTGGCAATTACTTGGCACCTATGTGTTGGTTTGTTTCTCTCCTCTCTCCCCAACCTCACCAGCAATTTTTAATTCTGCAGATGATTTAAATGAGTTTGACAGATGGCTAAGTTCTAAAGAGGGGGAAAAAAAATAATTTAAAAATGCTCCAATGAGTTTGTTGAAAATTTTCCCCACTGAGTGAGGAGAGAAAAGCCTGAGAGAAATCCTGTGTGAGAAAGGCATTCATGGGCTCCCATGTTACTGTGCAAAAGAGAATCCACATGGCAGCAAGTGTTTACAAATGCCTTAACCATGGGAAAAAAATTTGACCACAGCCCTCAGTCGATCACAAGACACAAACCCTGAGGAAATCAGGCTTCCTTGGTCCTAGTGCTGATGCTGTCACTTTTTAAATGTCATTTGTTCGTGCTTCATGAGATTTCATTCAAGTTCATCTGGAATAAACACTCTGAAATAATTCCCTTCTGGATCTCTTGTTTGAGGTCCAGAAGTGACTGATTGTGAAGTCTTGGGGCAAAGCTGTGAAGAGCATTGTGAAACCATCCACAACCTAAACCACTGTCACTCCATCTTCTTTCCTTGTGTTGTCTTTTGTATTCAGTAAGGACTATTCTGGTCCTTGCTGGACCAGCGGGTTTGTTTTGGTTTTGGTGGTTTTGTTCTGTTTTGTTTGAAATGTTTGGTGCTTTAAGCTTTCTGTAAGGTGACTCTGGGGTCAGTGACACCAGGATTCGTGTCATTTTTTTTCAGTTTATGACACACTTTCCGTGGCAAGCATTGTTGTTTTTTAATACAAAGAGTTTCCAGATGTGCTAAATCAGTATCTGCTGGTCATCCTTCACAGACCTCGCACATCAAATTCCTAGTCTTCTTTTTTCAGACACTTGCTGCATGTGATAGCTTTTGCTGAATAAAGTGCTTTGCTGAAAGTCAGTTTGCCACAGCATGGACATTCTTACACGCTCTCACTAAAGGTTTTATGTTAGTTCAAAGCTCTTTTTATCCATTCATACACATGACGGTGATAGGGTGTATTTTTTGGATTTCTAAGATACTTCCCTTTGTCTTTAGTCCCCAAATATGTATTACTGCAGTTTTCTCTGGGAGGAATTGCCTCTTTGTATGCTGAGTATGTGCAGATCTGTGCTGTTGACTGTCTTAGAAAACTTAGGATCATTTTCAAATAATTCTGAGAGTTGGATTTCCTTCAGATATATACCAAGGCTGTTTCTAATTCTTAATCTACTTTTTGGCACAGAAGGGTGCTTAACAGGTTGGACACTCTCACTTCATGGACTGAAGGGAAGCTGAATAATCTTGGTAGGATATGAAAAGCCCAAAGAAAATTACATTTTAACATTGTCTCTTCCTTCACCCCATTTCTCTCTTTTTTCTGACAGCCAGGTGAAGAAACAGTGGCAGTAGGGGTAAGTGGCAGTATGTAAGCCAAGTGGAGTTACTGGAGTGCTGGGACGCAGTGGTCTGGTTGTCTGGGCGGTGACTCCCTTCTTCATCCCCTTTGTCCTGTCCCTGTCTCTTCTACAACGGCAAATCAAGCTGAGCTGGAGTACCGTAATGATGTTGCCATGAATACCATGCGTAGGGTTGTGTTTCTTCCTTCAAACTGGTAGAGGTATATGTATGTATGGGGGAATGGGGAAGAGAGAAAAGCCAAACTATTTCATAAAGGAAACTGTGCCCAGTCAAGACCATGTGAAAACTCTTACACGAGGTTACAGTAGGCCATTGAGACAGTATCTGCTGACTCAGCCTTCTTTATTTAAGTAAATTAAATTAGGATGACCTAAAAATAGCATCATGGCATGGTGTGAATACTTTGTCCTTTCTTCTTTGAGAGTATTGAATTTTTTCAGCTGAGCAGCTATGAGGGTTTGGGAAAGGATAACACTCTGTGCAGGTCTCTCTGTGGAGGACTAATCCCTGGCAGCTGAGCAAGCCTCTGGGACCTGTTCACTCACATCTCCAAAGATGCTGGAAACTGAGTTCTGATAAAAAGCTATCCAACTTATCACCAAGCTGTATCTTCTTTTTTTCTTTGTTGCTTTGTCCTTGTGGAGTCAGATGGTGTTACTATCTTAAGCAACCTTAGCTTCACTGTACCTTGAGTTTTGGGCTGCATCTGTGTGGTTACATCCATAGTAGGAAGTTTCACGTGCCTGACACTATTTGCTAGTACAGAGGCACTGAATGACCAACATTCATACTATTTTTC